GCACAGGGCAGGGCTGGGCAGCACGTGCTGACATTGGGTCAGCAGCTCACTGCTGTAAATCCATCACATTCTCTTTCAGCTGCCTGGTGCTGCTGCTCTCTGGGGCTGGGCAGGGGCAGCAGTGCCCAGGGCAGCAGTGCCTCAGCTGTGCCAGGCACTCAGCACCATCCTGCCACCCCAGGCCCCACGCTTCAGTGGGATCAGCATGGAAACAAGATGTGCCAAGAGATACAAAGCCAGAATTAGCTTCCCAAGCAGTTTCCATTCCAGCAGAACATTTGTACATCTCATTGTAACATATTTCACTGGCACAAGGCAACAGGGACAGAGCTTAACACATCGCTGTGCTGCATAAATGAGTTCAAAACATTCCTTTTTCTGTGCATGTAAATCCCAGGATACCTGTGTACAGCTCCATCACCTGCAGAACCCCATTAGCATTTTAGTGCTCCCGTTCCTTTTGTGCTCACAGGGCCACTCACAAGAGTCACATGGGGAAAAAAAACAGAAGAATTCACTCTGTTAGAGAAGCAATTTTCAAGCTATGTATCTTCAGGCAGCGATTTATATTGTCAGAAAAAGCAAAGCTACTAGAAACCTGTTTACCACTGAAATCTGAGCTCAAATTCCCAAGCACAATTGAGCTCCATGGATTTACTATCCCACTTGTCATTGTTGAACCACAGCTGGCACATAAGTACCACACAGCCCCTCATTCATCCAACCCCCTGGTGGGCTGGGGAGGAGAACTGGGAAAAAGTAAAACCCATGAGCTGAGGTAATAATTGAAATACAGTTGTTAGTGGGGGTTATTATTGTTATCATTATTGTTGTTGTTGTTGTTATTGTAATAAAAACGGAGATAAGAAAAAGAGAGAGAGGACTATAATCCCAGATAAACAAGTGGCGCCCAACACAGTCTCTCACTGCCCAAAAAGCCCAGCCTGTTCCTCAGCAGCCATAGGCCTCTCCCAGCCAACCCCCACACTCCACATTGGGCATGACATTCCATGGTCTGGAATATCCCTCCCAGTCCTTGGCACCTCCTGGCAGGCAGAGCATGGGAAATGGAAAAGTCCTTGACCTAGGGAGAGCATTTCCCAGCAACAACCAAACCAGCAGCGTGTTATCAACACTGTTCTCATCCTGAACCCAAAACACAGCCCTGGACCAGCCCTGGGAAGAAAATGAACTCTCTCCCAGCCCAAGCCAGAGCTGGTGCACAGCTCCAGAGCTGTCAGCAGCCAGTGCCAGGCAGGACCTGACAGCAGCAGGAAGTCACATTGCATCTCCGTCTGCTTCCCAAGCAGGCGTCCCAGCTGGGTGCTATCAAGGATGCCACATCCCATTAGTAAAAATCCCTGATGGAGTGTAAAGCTCAATTAGAAAAGCCACAATCAACACTTTACAGCCTATATTTAGCTGCCGTTCGGCATTTGGGTAGGAAGGAGAGCACATAATCGAGTCATGACAGGGGTGGAAAAATCCTCCTGGCTGGGTGTGAGAGCTCAGGCAGGAGCCCAGGGACAGCTCTGTCACTGCCAGTCCACAATCAGATGGGGAAATGTGGGAACATCATCAGGGCCAGGTCCCTGCCCCAGCCCCAGGGACAGCTGTGGGGCAGGAATGACTGTGCCAGGCAGGGGACAGGGCTGCTCCAGCACCCCCAGCCCAGCCCCAGCCCCACACACCCAGCAGCACGGGAGGAAAACCAGCAGAACTCATCTCCAGACCTTGCCATGGTGATGTCCTTCTCCAACCCAGGAAAGACAGGGGAAGGGCTCAGATAAAGGGAAGGGAGGGAGAAAGAAAAGT